TGACTAATCTAGAAAAAATCTTATATCTAAATAATTATATGGCCTGAAAGAACTCTCACTTAGCCTGACCTAATCATGTTCGTGTGTGGACCAAAAATAATACAGTTCATTCGTTTTCAATTATCTATTCGTATTGTACATTTTTGTTTTCTTGTTACAATTATTTAATTAAAATTTATAAATATATATTGAGAGCAGGTGGTGTTGTGGGTGGTGATACCTTCTCTTCTAAAGAGAGGCTCTGTGACTTTAGTGGTGTCAATTTTGCTTGTAACATTCCTCTTCCAATATCTACCGAAAATATATCATTCAATCCGCCATCTCCGCCGCAATGCTACTCTCTCGGGTTACATCTTCGGCACCGTCTGGTGGGGAATTGCACTCAACATGATTGCTTATTTCGTCGCGGCTCATGTAAGTTTTTTTGATAAACTGTTTAGTATTGCGTAGCATATATATTGGCAGATATACAAAATTTCAACGTATTAATAGACTAGTTGGGAAGTTGTCATAGTCTATGTGAATATCTAATCGATTTGAGCAACTATCAAAAAGTCTAATTATATGCTTTTAATGCTTCATTTCTTGTGTGGGTAATTTAATAAAGTTATTTTCAGGTGCCAAATAATTATATTTTATAAGGTTTTGATTGTAAGATTATTTAGATGTCGTACCTAAAATATTTTCACATGGACCTTTTCCATTGCTGTGGGAGTCTTTTAGAAGAAAAAATCAGAAAATGCCAAAATAAGAAAAGATTTGTTAGGAGGAAGGTATGATTCTTTCCATCACACAAGTCGCAATCAAATGATTTAATGAAACTAAACACAACTTGCATTGGTTTTACGTATGATTAACTTCCGAAAGTCTAAGTTAAAATTATAAAATATGCAATCATTAGCTTCTTGTTTTTAAATACTATATAGTTAACGGTTCACTTTTATTTTTCCCTCAATGACTCATCAACTTTCACTTAACATCATACGTGAATTTCTTAGATCTTCCACATCAATCATTAACCGTACAAAAAAATGAAATGAATTTACCACAAGAAATCCACAAAAATCCATTAATCTGAAAAAGGTTTGCGTTACTATATATGTTTATGAATTACAGGCAGCAGGAGCATGTTGGTATTTGTTAGGAGTTCAAAGATCGGCGAAATGTCTTAAAGAACAATGTGAAAACACAATGGGATGCGACATAAGGATGTTGTCATGTAAGGAACCTGTGTACTATGGCACGTCCGTGATAGTCTTCGACAGAGCTAGACTTGCTTGGGCACAAAACCATCAAGCCCGATCTGTTTGCTTAGATATCAACACCAACTACACATATGGTGCTTATCAATGGACCATTCAACTTGTGAGCAATGAGAGTCGGTTGGAGAAAATCCTTTTTCCTATCTTTTGGGGTCTCATGACTCTCAGGTATTTCACATCCTAATCAGTATAATTATTTGATTTTTCAGTCCGGTTTGTATGTGACCATGATAATTCACCGTGTGAGAAAAATCTAACAAAATCGAAAATCAAATCGAATAAATTGTGCCTTAGTTCATTTACATAACCCTTTTTCTTAGGTATATAGTTTTACCAATAAATTGATTAATGTAAACAAAAAGGTTTACATAATCTTTTTTATCTGTAATTAATCAGCACATTTGGGAATTTGGAGAGCACAACAGAATGGTCGGAGGTTGTCTTCAATATCATAGTTCTAACAAGTGGTCTTCTTCTCGTTACCATGTTGATTGGTAACATCAAGGTATATAGATTAGCTTATATTTTCATAATTTGATTGATATCATGATAATAAAGTTAAAGAATTCTAGTTTGATCTAATGAAAAAAATGAAGGTGTTTCTGCACGCAACAACTTCAAAGAAGCAAGCAATGCACTTGAAAATGAGGAACATAGAGTGGTGGATGAAGAAGAGACATTTGCCATTAGGGTTTAGGCAGCGAGTCCGCAACTATGAGCGGCAAAGATGGGCTGCTATGCGCGGTGTAGACGAGTGTGAAATGGTTCAGAACCTTCCAGAAGGTCTTAGGAGAGACATCAAGTACCATCTCTGTCTAGACTTAGTCCGGCAGGTAAGATTGATCGTCACAATTTAAGCTTGACAAAAAAAAAGATTACTATATAAAGATGAAATTTGTTAATAATTTAAGTGAATGAGTATTTTCGATTTTTTTTTTTCAGGTTCCATTGTTTCAGCATATGGATGATTTGGTGCTTGAGAATATATGCGACCGTGTGAAGTCTCTCATTTTCACCAAAGGAGAAACAGTAAGTATCTTCAAACCAGTTTATGGAATAAATATTTTCAATGTCATGAAGCCATATAGACAGTTAGCTTGTTAGCTTGAGATCATGGAGCCTTTAATTGTTAGCTTGAGATCCAAGAAACTGTTAACGTAGGATCCAAGAAAACCATAAATTGTTAACGTCAACAATGAATAAGTAAACAAATCTTTGAAAATGCAGATTCAGAAAGAAGGAGATGCAGTACAGAGAATGTTATTCGTAGTGAGAGGTCATCTTCAAAGCAGTCAGTTGTTAAGAGACGGTGTCAAGAGCTGTTGCATGTTAGGTCCGGGAAATTTTAGTGGCGACGAGCTTCTCTCGTGGTGTCTCCGACGACCCTTTGTGGAGAGGCTACCGCCGTCCTCTTCAACACTTGTAACACTAGAGACCACCGAAGCGTTTGGCCTCGACGCCGAAGACGTTAAGTACGTGACGCAACATTTTCGTTACACTTTTGTTAACGAGAAAGTCAAACGCAGTGCCCGCTATTATTCCCCTGGATGGCGGACTTGGGCCGCGGTTGCGGTTCAGCTTGCTTGGCGGAGGTACGTCTCATTTCTTGAGTATATTAATCTCACTCATTAAAATCATTTTCAAAAAAAAATTGTTTTTAAAAATGCATAATTATGTTATTCTTTAATTTCTCAAATTATAAGCAACCGAAATAGAAAAGTGGTAGTTTAAGATATTATATTCTTTTATTTATTAAATACAAATTCGAAACATTTTTGATTATGTGTGAATAGATTTACATACAAAGTAAATATTTATTATTAACATGACAGGTACAAGCATAGGCTAACGTTGACGTCACTGTCGTTCATAAGACCGAGAAGACCATTGTCAAGATGTGCATCGTTAGGAGAAGACAAATTGAGGCTCTATACAGCAATATTAACCTCTCCTAAACCTAATCCCGACGATTTCGATGATTATTGATTCATACTATTCTTATTATCTCTACTTTTTTCCTCCGTAATTTCGTACTACAATATTATTTTTGTGGTCATCAATTTTTTTTTTTGGGTTTTTTTTGGATATAATTAGTCATAGAATAGCATATGATTTAAATAATAAAGAATATGGTAGCTTTAGCAAGACAATTTGGTACACATACACATTGGTAAAAAAGAAGTAATAGAGACATCTTAAATCTTTTTTTTTTATTAAAACATGGAAGCTCCAGTCTTTTGGTTCATAATCTTTTCCAGTATTAATTAAGAAGATTGTTAGTAAATTTTTAGTAAAATTTTGGTTTAGAAAAAAAAACTAAACGAAAAAGAAATCCTTTTTTTCTTTCCTTTTGTATAAATATAAAATTATATTCACCAAAATAGATGTTTGCACAATATTTCCACTTTGAGTGATACCATTGTTATTTTCTCGTATGTTGCTTGGATTCCATATACTGTTTAGTTGAACCGTTGTACCACTCAGAATCAGTCCCAGTTGTAAATTCAAAGATTACTTAGTTATATCGTCAATGGACTCAGCAGAGTCACGCCGGATAAATCGGATATAATAATTTTGTGTGTACGTAGTGTAATAAATTTAACATAATAATGAGCTCTTAGTTCTATGGAAAATTGTTTTCATTTTCTTGATCTAGATAATAAATGTAGCTTTTGTGCTACTCTGGTTTGAAATCTTTTAAATTTGGAGATATCTTTTAGTTCTATGGAAAATTGTTTTCATTTCCTCCCCTTGGAAGCAGAGACGAAAGCTGTTCAAGGGAGAAATCCGATGCCTACTTACTGAAGGCGATTGAGTCAAACGATAACTTTCTTCTTAAACTAGTAGCAGAGAAAGATGAGGAGGCTCATAAAGGCGAAATGAATATGCAGAGTTTCAAGGACTCAGCTGCGGAGCTAAGGGCGAAGCATGCGATGGCGAAGGTGGCGGGCTCGGAGGATAAGACCAAGTAAACGAAGAAGAGCGACGAAGAGGGTTAATGATGTTTTAGATTTAATATATCAATAAAATTCGATTGAATTGTCCACTAATCTTATTATTATATAAAATTAGGTTTTCAAAGATCGTAAAACGTGTCAAGTAAAACATAAGATATCGTTACGTGTTAAATTTTAATTTTTAATAATAAATTTTAAATATACGTAGATAAATTAGTTTATTCTGACAAAAAAATATAAAAAACTCTATTTACTAACTAAAACATTCTCTTTTTTTTTTTTTAATACTTTACATACTATTTTCTATAATAAAATATTTTATTAAATTTAAATTTTATTTTAAAATTAAATAACCCGTCGGATGAACTGGTCCTAATCTATTATTAAATATAATGATAACTAAGCTCTTAAGACTTAAGAGATATATGTGACGAAAATTCATCCAATGGACTTGTAGAATCGTTGGTTCAATTTTGTACCGTATCCGAAATTAAACCAACCGGTTCATTTTCTCTGAGTGGAAGATTCGGTGACCTGTCATATATATGACGATGTGTCAACCAACACTTTATTCCTCCCTAAGCAACAAATCACAGCTTTTTGCCACCCAAAGGCCAAAAAAGAATTATTTTAAAAAGAGAAGAAAATATTGGCTAAAGACACTTGTTGCCGCCTTTCTCTCATCACCATTAGCCTACAAAATTGTCTCTTCCTCCTCCTCCAATATTTCAATGTTTCTTTGAACATTTTTTCAAACTTTTTTCTTGGGGAAACATTTCTGATCTTCTGATTTGTTTCTCCCTCCAATGGCGCCTCGTCTTTTCGCATGTTTTGGCGTCAAAGGATCTTCAACTTCCACCACCACCGGAAAAGGTATTTCAGGTCATAACGCGGCTGTTGTAGCTGCTGATGTTCCGGTAGGTGATGGACCTGTTCTTGTTCAGCTTTTCTCATCTCAAGGATGTAAAACTTCGCCGGAGGCAGAGATGCTTGTATCACGTCTTGGACGTGGTGATTTCGATGGAAAGATCCGTCGAGACGGTGGATCTAGTGGTTCTCCGGCGATGGTTTTGGTTTTTCACGTTGATTATTGGGATTATCTTGGATGGAAAGATCCGTATGGATCGAGTCAGTGGACCGTGAGACAAAAGGCGTATATCGAGGCGTTGAATCAAGATACAATGTTTACTCCACAGTTTGTTGTCCAAGGTCGTGTTCAATTACTTGGGAATGAAGAAGAGTCCTTGCTTAAGTCTATTGTTGAAGCTCCTAGGTTTCCATCTCCGGCGTTTCGGGTGAGTAATTTCTTGCATTTTCGATGTTGTGTCATCGATGAATCAATGATTGATTTCTTACTACACAATGTGTTATTTTTACTAACATGAAGCAAATCACACATAGATGTTAATAGTGCAAGACACAACACTATGTGTCGAAGGCATTACATCTTTTGTGAATGTAATGTGTTCTTGTTGTTATTTGGCTTTGTGTTACATTATATAATCAGTGAAATTATTATTGATTTTTTTTACTAGGCCACATTCCAAAGACCAACCTCAGAAACCCTACAAGTATCTCTCACAGGAGCTTTGAGGATGAAAGTTGACTCGAGCGGGATCGATATAATGGTGGCGCTATACGAGAACGGTTTAGTGAACGATTGCCCTCGAGGAGAGAACTCAGGAAGAGTCTTGTCCAATGACTACGTTGTAAGAAAGCTAGAAAAGTTATGCACCGTTAAAGATTTAACGGCGAAAAAGACGGTGTCAGAAACGGCTCATTTCACGGTTTGGGATGGATTCAACAGCTCTAAATGTGGAGTCGCTGTTTTTATACAGAACACATCTCTTCAAATTTTTGGTACGCAGAGTTTTCAATTGCCTGATGAGATTTGACAAAGGAACAAAAATTCTGTATCTATTTTTATAGAAATGAAATTTGCACTTTTGTGTTCGTTCATATTTGGTTATTATTGGAATTTTGTGTGTATAGAAAGGATATTTGTCTTTTGACAAAAAAAAAAAAAAAAAAAAGAAAGGATATTTGTCACTCTCGTTTATAGGCATTTGCTTTATTTAAACCCTTTCAATTTTCTTCCATTCTAAGTTATGCTATCCCACTTCACTTTTAGGATAGTATTAAATTAAATGTTTTAAATATATTAAAAATATAAAATTCGATTTAACCAGGACAATATCTTAGTATTTTGTGGGTTTAAATCCGATGTATGTTGACAAAACAAATTTGAGTTGTGTTAATTCTCTAAGTTTTTTAAGGACGATAATAATTGAAACATAATAGTGAAAGTTATTGAAACGTGTCGTACAACATTATCCACGCAACACAACTTATTTAATTCACAGAGACATGTCAACGGATCTTTTCTTTTTTTTTGGTAGGCAGAGGGAGACAAATGCCTCCCCCAATTTATTAAATAAAAGCTAAAAAATAAAACTACAACCGAACATTATGCAGAGACAAAAGCCCATTAGTATCCTCAAATCGAATCGAGTGCAAAACAGGCGGACAAGAATCAAAACTATGAAATCCTAAAGGCAAAGAAAAAGCATGGTTAGCTAACCTATCGGTAAGACGGTTAGTTTCCCTGTAAACGTGAGAAATCCGGACTATCCAGTCCCTTGAGATGAAGCCATAACAAAAAGATTCTAGCTTATTTGTTTGGCCGAAAAAAATCCTAACTTAACTACATTATTAGTAGCCAAATAAATTATTAACTAGATCATCACCCGTACTGTAGTACGGGTTGAATTTCATTTATTACAAAATTTATAAATTTTATGTTTTAGAATAAAGTTATGATATATTATAATAGTAAGTGAAAAAATAATATTTTTTTGTCAATCCCTATATATAATATTAGAATGAATATATTTTTCTTTTTCTATAGTATTCAATTATGTATATTTTTTTTTAAGATATGAAAACGGAAAATAAGATTATTTTTTAAAAAAATTAATATTGTTTGAACAATGAGTTAATTTATGTTAACAACCACAAAATGAGAGTGCATATAATTTAGTTAGATCAAAAATCAAAATATCATAAATGAATCGCATCTAAAACGTAGATTATTTTGAATTACTTAAGAAAATTAGCTATTATTTTGAATTAATTTAGGAAATTATTTTTTCAAATTCTGATTCATTGGTTGTTGAAATAGAGATTTGTTTGAGCTAATTATGGAATTTACCAATTATTCACATAATCAATTATGTTATGAACATATATTTGGTATATAATAATACCAAATTCAATCCGTGTGTAGAGTCTATATTTTCATTTTACAATCCCTATGAAAATATTGCGGCACAATCTATTATTTATTATTTTCAAAATTGCGGCAGAATCAAATTTTCAAATATTTAGAAGTGTCAAACCTTATTTAACCCATCTCATCATAAAATCTTAAAATGCCGTCTGTTATAAGGATCATAACTTTCTACCATATAATACATTATATTTAACCCGCCGCCTACTATAAATATTTTAAACATATATTTTTAGAAAATCAAATTAATGTATTTATAATTTTTTTATCTTTTTAATCTATTAAATATTTATGATATTCTTTAATATATTAAATTAAACTTTTTTAAAATGTTCCAAATTAAAATCTTTAAATTTTTTTATTGTAGTATGTAAAATTATGAATTAAAAAAAATGATATGAAATTAAATATAATATTCAAATAGTTATAAGGATCATAACTCATTTCATCATATAATATATTATATTTAACCCGCCGCCTATTACAAATATTTGTTTCAAAAAATCAAATTAGAGTATTTATACTTCATAAATTTTTGATCTATTAAGTATTGATGATATTTTAAAAAAAGGAATATATTACTCAAATATGAATTTTTGACCCGTTAAATTTGTTCTTTCATACATTGAATAATTTATATTCGTTTATAAAAATTCAAATCTTGGTATATGCGGAAAAAAATTTACTTTTTTTTTTATTATATAGATGATATAATGATTTATTTATTTATAGAAATATAATCATATAAAGATGAGAGGTGAAATATAATAATTAATAACAAATTAATATGATAAGTTAGATATCAAATCTTATATGTTCATTTTGATTGGTCATTCTTTTTAAAGAAATTAATAATAGATTTTCGTTTTTATAATTAAATTAAATTAATTAAATTGCATAAAATAGTATTTGACTTGTTTATCCTTAATGAGTTGAATTAATTTACTCTATAAAATTTTATTTCTAATGGCATTCTTAAGTAAATTTTTACAAAAGAGAAGGTTAGTTTAGGGTATCTTATAAAGTGTACTCCCCAAATAATAGTATAGGATTTTGCATTGACTTAGCTGAATTAGACTTAATGTTAGTCACGTATAACAGTTTGTAACGAAATATTTTAACTAACATTAGATATAACTAGGTCGAGACCCGCGCTACGCCGCGGGAATTTTCTTAAAATTTTTTTTATGTTAATATAAATATAAGTTGTTATAAATCATATTGTTTGAAATCATATAATTAAATCAAACAGATATGTGCCTCTCATTTTTAAGAACACCATAAAGGAGATGAATGTTTTTTTACTGAAGTTCCATATACAAGCCTCATGTGATCTCTAGAGCATTTATTTGTTTGTTTTCTTGACAAAATATGTAAAACAGATTGGGTAGATAATGTAAATACATAACTGCGCTTAAATAGATGTCTTTGTTTTCCCTTAAATGGTAGTTTCTAAATCTTTTTTTGCATATCTTGTCTTAGAATCAAGATGCTCTCCGCTTCCATCATCCAAAGAAAAAAACACCATAATTAGAATCCAACACGAAAACAAAGTTCAATTAACAATCTAAGTCTATTCTTGATTTATACAAACCTGCTCGACAAGAAGTTCACATGCCTTCTCCAACTTCAACCCGTCCTCATCACAGCTAACAACATCCTCAAGACATGTCAATAGCTTCAATCTCATGAGAAAGATGATAGATATCCATGTGCGGAATCAGTATCTCCTTGCGTCCGATTGCAGTTAAAAGAGTGGACTTTCCACAACCATTTTACCCAGCATACCATAACGCCTTCTATAGTTAAGCTCCAACATCAAATCGACAATAAGGTCATTACCATGAAACGTCACAAACAACGATTCTATCTGCAAACAGACTTCAACAAATTCCATCAAAATCTTTTACATAAGAAAAACAGGGGACTCAGAGTATAAACAACAAAACTAAATATAATATATATCTCACTGAGTCATGGAATCAATAATCAAACAGACCTGTTCCTAGTGAAATCACAACAATTCAAATTTAGGAAAAACATTGGGCATCGAGATAAAAGGCTTACTCGGATATCTAGATTGAGGATGGGATATCTAGAGAACTCCGGTAAAACTGGTCCGATCAGAAATTTGAAGAGATTTGACCCTACTGGACAAGCTATCAACTCCATTGGAAGAAGTAGCGGTGGCGGATTTAGATGTGGCAGCAGCTTTACCACCTCTTTTAGAGGTGGCAACAGCTTTCTTCTAAGATGCCTTCTTCTTGCTAACACCCCTCTATGGTTAGAACTTGAATATTTTGACCATTTTCTCCTCTACTGAGTTTATTTGTTATCAGGAACTAACAAATGAAAGATGATTCTTTTTCTCTAAATACAAAAATGATACATAAGTCTAGCTAAGAAAGCTTAGTGACTACGGTTCACCTCATCTCTCAATTGAAATTAACCCCACATCCACAAACAGTATGCAGACCCTAAGACTTAACTTTAATGCTTCTTAAAAACACAGACGACACAAAGCGGATAATAAATTAGTGACTGCATGCATTGAGAAATTAATAAATACACAAATCTAACCAGTTGGTATTTTCGTTGGTATTAATTAAAACAAATTAAAAGACTTGGTGTACACACCCATAAGTTGGTATTGTCATTGCAGTCAACCTCACAAGATATAATGGAAGCGCCATTGTAACCCAAAATCTGCAGAGAAAAGACCATGTAAGACTTTGACAAAAAAAAAAAAAAAAGACCATGTAAGACAGATGTATTAGATATTAGAACACACTTCCCATGATGATTCTAGAATCTAATTTTATCAATACAGCCAATGAGCATTATGTGATGTAACAATTTATGTCTACTTTTTTATGTATTAGTTATCATAAATCAATTAATTCTATACTGGAATAAAAAGAAAAACAAAGTTTGGGCACCTAAGAGAGACAATTCACAAAGCTAAAGAGACATTAACAGGAAACGTATAGTTAAAGAAAAGAATACAGTCTTCTCCACAAAAACAAGATACACAAAACTCTTCAAGTCTACTTTATTTTATTGGTTCTGCAATATTCAATGGTCTGTAACATTAATGCGTCATAGAGACAAATGAGTTATCTTATCAACAGAAGGATCTAAAATTGATCCCTCAAGTTCATAGTCTATAGACTCAGTTTTCAAATATTGATGTAAGAAAGTGAAAGTGATGTGATGCTCTGTTTCTGTTTACGGCTAGACAATAAAGCTTTTTTGGCCCTTGTCCCTCCTAATTAAAGAATCTGAGCATTTGAGAAATTAAAATCAAAGCCTTAACACTTTAGCAATGAGAAAAAGCAATTGCAAACTATGACCTTAAAAACCCCCTTAATCAGCTTGTATCTTGAGCTAACCTTGCCAGAGATGATGTTGTCAGACTAAGCTTTTTAGAACTAAAGATCATCTTTAAGAAATATTCAAAGCTTTCGTTTTCAATGCTTTTGACACTTTGCAAATAACTATTTTTTCCAAGAACAGAAATACGACGCCAACCAAATGATCAAAATACCAAATAAGGTGGGATCAAATACTAACCTTGCCAGATATGATGTCCTCGGAGAAAGTATAGACAGAATCAAGTGTATTTCTCCAACCATCCTTCCTTCATATGGATTCGCTATAG